GCCAACATTATCTGTTTCTTCTAATTGGTAAATAAATCCTTCTATTACTGAAATCCCATTGAGTAAGCCACAATATGAAATGTCATTTGGGAGGTCTGGTCAATCAAATATTAGGCCTGTGCATGTATGAAACATAGCCCAAAATATTGTTCTCGGAAATGCTGAACCATGTCATACTTCAGCAAATCAGAATACAATGCACATGGTAAAGATAGATCAATCAAACACATCAACCAGATCAAGAAAAATAAACGTGATTTAATTTTAAATCCTTGACAAAACACTTACCAAAAGCCATAGCATAGTCCGGACGTGATTGCAAAGCTCGTTGATAACATAAAATAGCCTCTTGAGGCATCCCCAAGGCCTGGAAAATTCAAAGATGATCTCGTTTTTCTCCAGATTCTTGTCCTGGCATTGCAGCTACCCACTTACTAGCAAAATGTGGGAAAGCTTACCTTATAAACATTTCCCATATTCAAAAGGGCATCTGAGAAGTTTGGTTTCAATTTGACAGCTTCCTAGAAATAGAAAGAAATACATGGCAAGAAATTAAGAAAAACAGAGGCTATTAACAATTCAACAAGAATAACAAAAAATACGTGCACATCATTCAAGCATCCAAACCACAGAATAGTAGATCAGTCATCAAAAGAAATAAGAAAATTGATACCTTATAGTACTGCAAAGCCCTATTAGGCTCGCCTGCCTCCATAAACAGAGAAGCAAGATTGGACCATGCGATAGCAAATGTAGGCTGTAACCTGAGAGCCTCCAAATAGCAATTGCATGCCTGGCGAAGAAAAGATTCTCAACCCGTTCAGGATGATACATGAATAACAAAGTTTAAAATCATGTTGAACTCAGTTAGCATATTGCGGCTAACTTCAAAGCTGGCAGTAGCTCCTCATAAACAAAATGCAGGGAAGTAGATTCTACATATATATCATGCAGGCCAAAAGACCAAAATTATGAGATCATGAAATAAAAATATGGAGATTGGACCGCTAAAAAAAAGATCCCAGAAGCTTAATATTAGACCAAAAGACCATAAAACGAGCAGATTTTAAATGCGTAAAAAGCATAGTACATAAAATAAAGAAACCATTTCAAAACTTGCTTGCCTGGATACATTAGAAGCAATGTTAAAGACAATTACCTCTTGCACCAGTCCTTGAGCTTTCATCAGATTTCCCAGGTTACTATGAGCATCAACCTAAAATATAAGTCAGTCAAAAAAGAAATGAAAACAATTTACACAGAGAGGATACATAAATGAAATTAAAAATTAAGCATTACCAAATGCGGGTTTAGCGCAAGAGCTTGACGGCAACATTGGGCTGCTTCACTTAGCCTTCCTTTCCGCATGTAAGCACTAGCTAAATTTGACCATGCATCCGCAAAATTAGGCCGAAGCTGCACAATTTCATGAAATCACAGTTATATATGCAAGACTCAAAGATGAAAAAGGTTAGGCAACAGTGATGAGCTCTCTCTCTCAAACCTCCTCAAACAATTCTCTATCTTC